AGCGAGCGCGTGGAGATTGTGAGCCACCGTACCATGCTACTCACGCCAGGTACCGGCGGGGAACCCCTGCACGGCGCACGTGCTGGGCGCTTCGGGATCCCGGCGCAGCCACAGAGCCTCCCTCTTTGCTTCTACCTGCAGACACTGGAGAGATCACAACACTGCCTCCTGGGCGCCATGAGTTCCCATTCAGCTTCCAGCTGCCACCGTAAGTCATATGGGTGCAGGATTGTGGGGGAGTCCCTAAGCTTGCAGCACCCCCTTCCCCAGGTTTGGGACTCCGCTGCTTAGTATCTGGGGACCTCTGAGCTGCATGACTTTCTTTCATACCCTCTTGTGTCTCTCATACCCTCAAGTCTTTGGGAATCCCTGCCGGCTTGTCTCTGGATCTCGCCCCTTGAAGCGCCTTCTTCTCTCCACCCACAGGACGCTAGTGACTTCATTTGAAGGCAAACATGGCAGTGTCCGATACTGCATCAAGGCCACCCTGCACCGGCCCTGGATCCCTGCCTGTCGGACAAGGAAGGTGTTTACTGTTATTGAGCCAGTGGACATCAACACGCCTGCTCTGCTGGTGAGTGGTTGCCCTTGGGGAGGTGGGATAGGAGCATCACAGGCAGATCCTGGCTACTTGGTGACTGGTTCCTCACTCCCTTCCCAAAGTGGGGGTCACAGCCAGGCCCTGGCAGGGAGGGAGGCAGACATGGGAATGCCTGTGGAGTCCATTGGAGCCAGGTGTAAATCCCAGCTGCTCCAATTTGCTGTGTGGCTCCGGGTGAGTGTAACGCCCTCTCTGAGCTTCCAAAGTCTCATCTGTGAAATAGGGCACAATCAGAGTTTGCAATAATAATGGTTTACTGGATGTTAGTTAGGCACTAAGCGCTTGGCTTGTTAATTTCATTTTTCATTTAATGGGATGGGTCGTATGCCTGGACCCATTTTATGAATAGTTGCTAGATAGTTAAAAAGAAACGAGGAAACTAGGTCGTGCCCCAAGTCCTCCTTCAGCGGGGGGAGAGGGGGTTGAAAGCTACACAGGGTCTGTGGTTTGCACAGAGGAACCCGTTTCATGCCCTTTCCTCCTTTTCCTCCACCCTACCAGGCCCCTCAAGCAGGAGCTCGGGAGAAAATTGCCCGATCCTGGTACAGCAACCGTGGCCTTGTCTCCCTCTCAGCCAAGATCGACCGCAAGGGCTACACGCCAGGTAGCATGGGGGAGGCTGGACTGGGAAGAAGGCCAGTATTGGGGGTTGCAAGTGGAGAAACTGAGGCCCTGCTGCTCCCCTCAGGTGAGGTCATCCCCGTGTTTGCCGAGATCGACAACAGCTCCACGCGCCCAGTGCTGCCTCGGGCGGCCGTGGTCCAGACACAGACCTTCATGGCACGAGGTGCCCGCAAACAGAAACGAGCAGTGGTGGCTAGCCTCTCGGGAGAGCCTGTGGGCCCCGGGCGGCGGGTGCTGTGGCAGGGCCGGGCGCTGCGGATCCCACCTGTGGGTCCTTCTATCCTGCACTGCCGTGTACTACATGTGGACTACGCCCTCAAGGTAGAGTATCCTTGGAGGCCAGGGTGGCTGCATCTGCTCTATCCCTTAGACTGGGATCCCCCTGAGGCTGGGGCTGGGACCTCTATCCCCCTGGCCCAGGAAAGTCCTCCTTCTGTAGAAGGAGGGTGCAACCGAGGCTGCCTGGGCACCCTCCGTTATGATTCATTCCTCCAGGTCTGTGTAGACATCCCAGGCTCATCCAAGCTGCTCTTGGAACTGCCGCTGGTCATTGGCACCATCCCTCTGCATCCTTTCGGCAGCCGCTCGTCCAGCGTGGGCAGCCATGCCAGCTTCCTGCTGGACTGGGGGCTGGGGGTCCTGCCGGAGCAACCTGAAGGTGAGTTCCCCGTCCTGCTGTGGGTGGGGGTGGACAGAGAAGTGGCTACCAGGCTGATTCTCCCTCTGCCAGCCTCAATGCCTGTAAAAGTGCTTAGTAAGAATTATGTTGGCAGCCATGGGTCCCCCCAGAATCCCAGCCCAAGGGCACACAGCTCCACAGCCTCAGAACTGGCACAAGCTGGCTCCTGGCCATAGTTTCCAATTCTGAGGCTCTCCTCCTTTACCTGCTCACTCACCGTGTCTCTTGATTCCAGCCCCTCCCGATTACTCAGAGGTGGTGGCCGTGGAGCAGAGCCCCTTCCCACTACTCCAGGACACTGACATGAGTGTTGAAGGCCCCTTCTTTACCTACATCCAAGAGTTCCGCTTCCGCCCTCCACCCTTGTACTCTGAGGTGAGCTTGGGGGTCCACGAAGCCCCTGTGCCTCTCCAGGCCCTGGGAGCTAAGGTGAGGGTGGGAGACACAGATGAATTTTAAATTTAATTTCATTCTGGGCCTAAACCCAGCTTGCATCTCTGTCTGATCCTAGGTATCTACCCCTGGCTAAGAGGGGGTGTGGAGATGAGGGCGGGGAGGATTTGAGGGTAGGGAGAGGTGTTTCTGAGCGTCCGGGGCATCCAGAGACTTAATGGGATCATTTCCTTCAGGAGGATCCAAACCCGCCCTCAGAGGCCATGAGGCCACACTGCAGGACCTGCTGAGGGACCAGTGGAGACTTCAACGGATGAGGCTGCACATGTGCTTTGAGCCCCTGTGGCCATGAGGAGCGGCTGGATTAAGAGCATACCCACCTGAGTGCACTGAAGTTGGGGAAACTGAGTCTCAGAAGTGGGCAGGGCTGTTCCAACATCACACAGAACAGAGGAAGAGCCAATCTGGAATCTGACAAATCTGGACCCGTCCTCATAAGGTATCAAGTGCCCAGCGTGGGATCCGAGAGACTGTTCAACCTGTCTGTGCTGACCTGTGAGCAGGGACGGTGTCCCCCAGAAGCCTCTAGTCTGGCAGGAACAGAACCAGACAGAAATACTTCCAGTCCTGTGGGACCAGAGGAAGGGACCCTGATCTGGGAAAGTCCGAAGGGGAAGCAAAGAAGGCTTCCTGGAGGAAAGGGCATTTTAGATGAGGCTTTGGCCTATGAATAAGAGCTCCGCATGCGGGCAGGCAAGAAGGAAAAGTCGAAGAAGGTCAGAGCTGAGTGATGTTTGGAGACTGCCCCCTTCATCTTAGAACTGGGGCTCAGAAAGCAAGTACCTCAATCGAGGCCGCACTGCAAGTTCTGGCAGGTGAGAGGGCCCAGGAATGAGGCATTCAGGGAAGCAAGTCATTGGAGCTGTGTGGGGCCTGTGGGTGGCAGGGGCAGCAGCTCTAGCCTTTGAAACCTTTGAAAGCCAGAGATTCCCAGCCTAGGCTGGGCTGCCCAGGGGCCCCTCCACACACTCCATTGCATACTCCTGGGTACTGCATGGACCAAGAAACCCGGGTTCAGAGTGGGACAGACAAGACCAGCTGTATAACTTGCAAAATGAAGATGTGGGGCCCATTGTTCAAGGATTAAGAATTTCAAGATGGACAGCAGAGCATTAAACTATGCTAGGGGGACGGAGGTTAGCCTGGGATGACACAGAAGGGCCAGGGTGTTTCTGGACACCCCCTGTGTCCTGGAGGAACAAAACATGATGGGGCAGAGCCCCCAAGGGCAGAGTCCCAGCCCGGCTGGGGCAGGGCCCCCGCCTGGGACTCTGCATTTCTGACAAGCCTTAAATTGTCCTCTTTTGTACAATTTTTTAAAAATAAAAGCATGGAGGAAGAGACTGGGCTTAGTGTTCTTAGTGTTTTACTTCTCCCCAGGTGCCAAAGAAGCCGGGGTGGCCCTAAACACCACTGTGGGTCAGGATCTCAGAATGAATTCCAGGCTGAGGAGGGTTGAGGGACCCATTGTCCAGAAGGTGAAAGTGAGGCCCACGGGAGACTGAGCGCAGGTTGGAGCCCGATGCCCTCACCTCGTGCAGTCACAGAGGCTGGGAGCATGGATGCTGCAGGGCAGGGGAGTGCCGGATGCAGGAGGATCCTGCCTATCTACAGCGTCTGGGCTGTTTTTGTTTTATTGACGTTCATTCATATACCATTTGAAAGTGTGCAGTTCCTTAGTATTTAGGACAATTACAATTTTGTACAACCATCACCTCTATCTAGTTCCAGAACATTTTAATCAGCCCCAAAGGTAAATGCTTGACCCAATTGTCATCACTTCCCATTCCCCCTCCCTCAGCCCAAGGCAACCACTAATCTGCTTTCTGTCTTGATTTGCCTGTTCTGGACAGCTCGTGTAGATGGGATCATAGGATAGGCAGCCTTTTGTGTCTGGCTTCTTTCCTTCAGCATGATGTATTCAGAAATTTAACCACATTGCAGTATGAATCAGTGCCTCATTTCTTTTTATGGCCAAATAATATTCCATTGTGTGGATGAACCACATTTTATTTGTCCGCTCACTGTCCCCAGTGATGGACATTTGGGTCATTTCCACCTTATGGCAATTGTGACTTGTGTTCCTCTGGTTATGCATGTCCAAGGAGTTGTTTGAATCCTCACTGGGCTCTAAGGTAGCCACAGTAGCATAGAGGTTTTTATTCTCCTGGAGTTGCAGATGGGGAAAGTGAGTCCAAAAGAGTCAGGTGACTCACCCATTTTCTCACAGTAAGGACTGATGAAGCTGCCACTCAAAACTGCCCCTAGAACTCTGTAATCTATATCCCACAGGTAATGTTACACCCACATGACACTCCCTGGTAGCTCAAGTTCCACCCCAGACCTGAGGCCCTGCCCACTTTGGGTGGGGTCAAATTAGACCACCTCTCTGATAGCCCTGGCTGTGCCCACCAGCCTTCCCAGGCAGTGGAAATTAACTGGCAGCCCAGAGTGTCCATGGGCCAGGCCAAAGGGCAGGGATGAGGATTAGGGACCCAGGGGATGGACACTGGGAGATGTGGTTTCAGGCGTTTCTCTCTGTGTGACCATGGGCCTCAGTTTCCCCATCTGAGACTCTGAGACACCCCCTCTCCACAGCCTCAATCTCCCCCCTCCCCAGTTCAAATTTGGGCCCTGATTCCCAGTGTCTCCTGATTTTGGGGTTCACCCGGCTCCCACTGATCTGTCACCAAGCTTGGAGCATGTCAGACTTGGGCTTCCTTGGGGCCCAGCAGAGGGGAGATGTTACCACAGCACAGCCACCTAGACCCCAAAGAAGCAGCCTCAGGAAGGACTGAGTTCCCCATCAACTGGGTTATGGGAAATGCAAGATGCCAATTTCCAGATCCATGTTCCCAAACTGAGAAGAATCTAAGGTGTTTATTGCAACAGCGGATGTGCATACAGTTCTGTGAAAGTTTCCCCTGGGGAACTTGGGAGGACAAGCCACTTCGTGTCCCCAGGAATCCTGCGCCTGCAACTATCTGGAACCTGATCCCTAAAGGAGGCAGATTTTCTGATTCGGATAAATGACAACCAGGATGGAGCTGGCTCAGGCAGTTCAGAATTTGGGGAACTCGCTAAACATAGAGGCCCATAAGGTGTAGAGGAGGGTGGACAAATATTCTCCTAAGATAAAAGCCCCGCTCCTCCTAAGATCTCCCACCTGCCTCTTCCAGCTCCCACTCTATCCCTCCCTGATACTCAAATACTCCAAGCTGGTTCCTACCTCAGGGCCTTTGCACATGTGGTTCCCTCTGCTGAAAGTCTCTCCCTTATGGCTGGCTCTGCTTTACCCACTAGCCTCATCTTTTCAGGGATGCCTCGACCTCAAGTCACCACTTCGCATCACTCCTTCTTCTATCCCCCATCCTATTGTTTCCATAGTCCTCATCAGTCTCTGAAATTCTTACTTAGATATTCACTTGTTTGTCTGAGTCTGAGAGCAGGCCTGGGTCAGAGCTGTGTCTCTGGCTCTAGCACACAGCAGGCAAAAGGAGAGGTGACTGAGTAACTGGAGGGGACTCTCCACTTACTCTGATATGAGCAAAGTCTCTGATGGGGGTGAGAGTGTCACTGCCTCTCACTTGTTCCTAGGACCCCCCCTAAAATCAAACCTGTCACCCATTCAAAGTCAATGCCATATTGCTCTCTGTCTCTCACTAAGAGTCTCTGCCTCTCTCACCATCTTTTTCTCCCCCATCTCTGCCTCTTGCTCTGTCTCTTTAGCTGTTTCTCTGTCACTGTCTCTCATTGTCTCTGTCTCCCCTATCTCTGACTTACCATCTCTGCATCTCTGTTTCTCTCACTATCTCTCGGTCTCTGTCTCTCGCTTACCATCTCTCTGGGTTACCACCTCTCTGTCTCTCTCAGTCTTTGACTCCACCATCTCTGTCCGCTGCCCTGGCCAGGCCAAGCCTAGGGCACGGGGTGACAGGCAGGCCTGGCGCCTGCTGCTTGTTTTCCGCCCTCGCTGGCAGCCAGCCCAGCTGGGCTACTGTTCAGGAATCCTGCAGCCGCCTTGCTCCAGCCACCATGCAAAGCCACCACCAGCCTCTCCTCCCGGCACATTCTGTCCCCAGCAGGGAGTGCTGGGGGTGGGTGGGTTGGGGGATGTGTTCCTGCTGGGCTCCAGTTACAGGACAACCCGTCCTGGTGGCCCTGCTCCCCACCAGCGCTGCCCCCTGATGCCTCCTCTCCTTGCTCTGGGCTTAGATCTTCCTGAATGAGGCCCTACTGCCAGCTCAGCCCCACCTCAGGAACTTTGCACCTGTTGCGCCTTCCACCTGGACCTCCCTCTCCCCAGATCTTCCTGGAACCTTCTTCCTTGTAGGCCTCCCTGTCCCTAGCAGAGTGCTTCCTCAGTTCCCCTACCTCTGCTGTCGTGCAATTTGCTTCTAGATCTTTCCCCTTCCCAGACTTATATATTTACATGTTGCTAATTTACATGTCTGCTTCCCCGAGTGCCCTACTATATCCACAGTGCTGGGCACATCCATTAGGCACTTGGTGAATATTTTAGAACTGATGTCATTTCCTCTCAAAGCTCAGCTCTGCCCCAGACACTGAGCTTACACATGGAGCTCCCCATCCCCTCAGCCTGCCTGACCTACGTGCCCTGCTGCCTCCTCCTGAGTGTGCTGCTCCTGCTGCTTCTTGCCCCCCACGATCCCTACACCAGCAATCTCCCAGCCCGCCTGCCTTTGGTCAAGGAGTTCCGGGTACCACCAGATGCACTTCTTTTTCCAGCAAGGGGCTGGGTCTGTCTTTTAAGCCCACTGGACTCTACACACAGGGACAGCCACAATGCACACACATGTGCAGGGACCCAGAAACAGGCCAGTGAACTCGGGCACACACAACTGAGAAGCTAGCACAGACCCACATGACCGCTAACACCTGTCCAAACAGGTACAACAGTAATGACCGTGAACCCCTCCAGCGCTGGGCGCCCATGGCCCATGGTTGAGAGTTTGTGGGGTGTCCACATTTGGAGTCCACCAACTCTGAGGAGGAACATTTATGAGGTCTTTACAGGTGGAGACAGAACATGGGATTTGAACCCACACCAGAGTGTATGCAAGTCCAGTCCACATGTGCCTCTGCCCTGGCTTCCCCCACCTGGGAGTCATCCCCTACCTTGTTTTTGATGTTCAGGGAAGGCTAGGAAAGTCCCCAGAAAGCATCAGGCTGGGCAAGGGGCCCAGGAGGAAGTGGTGACTCAGCTGGTGGCCATCAGTGCATGCCACGCTGGGCTGCCCCAACTCGGGAGGATTCACAGAGAACAAGAAAGGATGGGGGACTGATGCATGGTAAACAGGGCCTCTGAACAGGGATGGGGGTGTGTGCCTGGATGGGCCATCTGCGTGCCAACATCTCAGACATGCTGAGCCCAATCCACAGATGGGGAAACTGAGGCAAAGAGAACAGATGACTTGCCCAAAGACTCCCAGACAGAATGAGGCAGACAGGGGACCCCTAAGTCCTTGGTAAAAGGGTCTTGGTGGAATCTACTCTCCCTAACCACCTTTCAGTGGACAAAAAAAAAAAAAAAAAAACAAGTCCATTTACTGCCTCCAGATGTGGACATGTAATCAGGTCTTGGCCAATGAGAGCTTTTTTCATCACCACAGACTCAGGGATTGGTTTAGGGATGGACATGTGACTCTGGCTGGGCCAATCACTGTGAGAGTCTGGGGACACCCTGAAGGTAATGATAAGGGACCATCATTGCCACCATGCCAAGGATGGCAGAATAAGGTCCCGAGGGCATTATGATGGAATCCACAAACACCCCAGCCCCATGGAGTCGGGGTGGGGCCAGAGGGAAGGATGAGGGCTGGAAGGTTCAGGGAGGGCTTCCAAGAGAAGACATTGGTGTTGGGACTTTGAAGGATGAAGAAGAGTTCACTAAGGAGCTAGAGATCACATTCCAAGCAGAGGGAACAGCCGGTGCAACCACAGCAGGCAAGAGAGAGTTGAATGTGTCCTCAGCCATCCTGGTGGGACAGATGGGGACAGAGGGGACAGATGCAGATGTGTTTGTTTATTTGCTCCCAGACTGTATCCTTCCCCTCCACAACCGCCAGAGGGTGAGACCAGGACTGCTTTGTTGACTGACACATCATTAATGTTTGTGACCTAGGTGGCCCTCATTTGGGGACACAGAGGGATGGGATGGGTAAGGTGGGTGGTAAATGGGGGGACTGGATTCATGGGGTGGGAGAGTCTGGGCTGCATGGCGGTGGTCCCAGGAGCCACGAGAAGCTGGGCCACAGTCCAGGCAGAAGGAGGTGATTCCCCATCTGTGAACTCTGGACCCCAAGAATGGTGCTCCAGAGGGAGGCA